GGAAAGTACATAAATTCCAAACCAGTTTGGAACTTTTTTCTCTGTGTGAAAGTTGACGCAGTGAATGGCAACCAGAGCAAAAAACCTAGTTTGCTTAGTAAGTATACAAACACACAGACTGGCAGATGAGAGTTTTGTGTAAGTTTTTGGATGTACATTGCTGCCGATAGCAACAGCGGCACATTTTCCACTCAGAGCCACTCTCTAGAGAATCGATAGAATTTGCTTTATTAGAAAACTGCCAATAAAAGTCGAGCGAGACAACAGCGAGAGAAGGAAAAAAGGGACGAGGAGGAGGAGGAAGAGAAGAAACAACAAAACAAAAATAAATGGTGATCAGTCCACAGTGGTGTGGCTGTGGTGATGATGGTGATGGTGATGGTGGTGGTGGTGGTGGTAGTGGTGTAAGTGGTTTCAGGCGATGGAAGGTAAAAGAATGGCCAGTTCAGTTGAACATAGTGACATTAGCCAGTTGGCTCAGGGTTGCCTGGAACTGTTGCCAAATTCTACAAAATTTGTTCCACCAAGGCAAACCTGTTCGATTTTGTTGCCAGTTTTTCCACCAAAACAGCAATAAAAAACGACAAATCACAAGCAGTGAAAGGAAGGAGAGGAATATAAGAACAGAAATTGAAGACACAACAGACGTCGAATGTAGTACAGCAAATAGTGGAATGTGTTAGTGAAGCCTCAGCGGACTGTAAGTGAATTATTGGTGGTGGTGGTTGTCGTGGTCAATGAGTACCGGCAAAGTCAGCTGATGCTAGAAAAACTTTGTTACAAGAAGAGCGTGTACAGTTTTAAATTATTAATAGGTAGAAGAATATTGATGAAGTGAAGTCGTGAAGTGAAATGTCGTGAAGTGTTCCAATGAAAAACCGTGTCACTGTGTCGGTGTTTGTGTGTGTGGCGTAGGAAATGTTTGTACTTTGTCATGGCAAAATAGTGTGAAGTAGTGAGAGGGAAAGAGAAGGAAAAAAAAGTTTGGACGTACTTAGTACTCGTGCAGGGCAACTGTACAGCGTTGAGTTATTGAGTATGAAAATTGACTGAATGCGTGATTTGCTTAGAAAGACAATAGTAAAATAATGAAAAAATAAATCGACGTGAGGAGGCACGTCAAAGCACTGCTGCACTGGACACATCTGCTGTGTCTGCACCGGGTGACTTTGTTTCGAAAAAGTACAAATAGAGTTAGTGGAAGAATGCTTATCGTCGTTTGCATTAGGTGAGGTGTAGGAAAAAAAGGGAACATAAAAAGAACAAAAAGAAAATGAAAAAGTAGACTAGAACTGGACAGACTGGTCTCCTGGGAGCCTTAAAGAAGAGGGCACTTTGCACAGTTGATTAGACCATCATCAGCACCGGGTGTTGTTCTTGCAGGCAGCGGTAACGGATCGCAGACAGAAAAATGGGTTTCACATTTACAGCAGAATTTGCACGCAGCTGTTGTTGCATCAGCACAGTTATCGTACTTTTTTTGTTGAAACAGACATTTTTTAAGCCAGGACTAAACTTGAACGTGAACTAAACTTGAAAATTGGCCGTGAAGTGATGATGATAAAAAGGAGAAAAGAAAAGAAAAAAGTTTACAAAGTTGAGGGCAACAAGGAACGATAGATATAAACTTGATGACTGGAAATGTGTGTGTGTGTGTTTGTTTGTCTGTCAATGTGTGTCAGTGAGTTTGTAAGTCAACTTAGAATGTGTGTGTGTGCTTTGGTGAACAATGAAAAACTTGAAAATATTAGGCAATGCAAACAAAAAAGTTGTGTTTGTGTGAATGTCTGAAATGTGTGCTTTAATTCAGTCAGTACAAAAATGAAGAAACGATAGCCAGTGAAAAAATAAAGAACAACAAAATAATGAATAGCAAAAAATAGGTAGTGAATGGCGTCAGAAAAGAAAGTTGTGTCAAGAATTGTTGAGAAAATGAAAATAAGGAATAAAAACAATGGTAGAAAAAATAGAGCGAAAAGTAGTTTGTTTGTGTGTTTGTGTGGTTCAGTTCAGCTGACTGCTTTAGGGAATAGCTGCTCTGGCGTCATGCATCAGAATACTTGTCATCACTGTTGTCTTTCAAGAAGGAGACTAGGCTGTACACACCCTAGCTCAAACGATAACTTTTTTAGCGAAAACGTTTTTAGAAAAAGATGAAAAGGGAAAAAGCGTTTGGTAATACTTCAATCAGTATCATCCGGTCATAGCTTTTGTTTGTGTGTGTGTGAATGTAGTGTTGTGCATACTGGGTTGGGTTGATTGTATTAGGCGTTTAGTGGCTTTTTGCAGCATTTTGACTCAAAAGGCTTGCGTGAGTGCAGCAAGCTTGAGTGGCACTAAAGAGTGAACAAGTGCAAGTTTGCAGCAAACACAATGAGTGGAGCCCTCAATGAATCAACGTAAATATTAAAAAAAGATAAAGTGTGTGAGATTCAACAGCAAACATAAGAATTATTAGCAATGGTCAAATGAGGGCGAAATGAGCGATAATTATGTGGTGGATAGCAGCCCAATGTGCCCCTGGGGACTGCACAAAAATGCTGAGTTGATGAGCTTGTGTGAATGTGTGTATGTGTGTTTGTGTGTATGTGTGCCTTAATGATGATGATTGCTATCGCCAACAAATACTGACGTGACTCACTGTTTTAAACCGTCGCTGAGTGGGCAAGAGCTATTGATACCAATTTGGAAACTGCTACATAACCGAACAGTGACCTTTCAGTTTTTCTTTGCGAATTTGAGAACGCGTTTTCTTCAAATCCATCTTTAACGACATATTTCGAGTCTTGTCCATAGACAACAGTTCCTGCAAAAATGTAGCAAAAAAAATAAACAAAAAAATAAAGTTAGTTTGAATCCGTTTGTAAATGCTTTAGCTCAAATTACACTAAAGAAAACTTTTTTAGCAACTATTAAGTCAAAAATTTGCACTAACCTGAAAGGCTTCTGGCACGTTGTGACCAGTTTTGGCAGACGTTTCAATTGATCCACATCCTTTGAGTATTTTGGACACCATCTCCGCTGCATACTCTGGCGTTACCTCACGCTGATTATCTTCATCACATTTATTTCCTACCAGTATCATAGGCAGATGCTCGTCTGTTGCCTTCACTTCATGAATTTCACGGTAAATAGGAATCAGCTCCTCGAGGCTTTGCTTTGAGGTGACGCTACGCAATCAAGAAAAAGTTTGTCATTTTTTAAAAAATTCAATCAAATAAAATGCGCAAAATAGAGTTTCAGATATAAGCAGCAGTAATGAGACAGTACCTGTAGACAAGCATGAATGCATGCCCTTTGGTGATGTTCAGCCGCTGCATGGCCGGAAACTGATGTGAGCCAGTGGTGTCGGTGATTTGCAGCGTGCAGACATTCTTATTGCAGCTGATCACCTGGCGGTAGGTGTCCTCGATCGTTGGAATGTACGAGTCGCGGAATGTGCCTGTTGAATCGGTGTTTGGTTAAGCAGTTAGTAAAGCAGCTCAAGGAAACAACTTTTGTGGATGAGCAAAAAAATTCACGCTAAAATTGAGTAACACTCACCTTTGACAAATCGAAGCACTAGGCTTGATTTGCCAACGCCGCCAGCCCCAAAAACGACGACTCGATAGTCGTTGCTTTGTTCAGGCATTGCGCGGCTCAGGCGAACTGAAGTCTGCTTCTTCGATGATTTATCAATGGTGAATGATGGAATAGAAAACGGTGGTCAATGACAAAAAGAGGTACCGCTGCGGATGCAGTGGCGGTTGCTGTGTTCTATGCAAAGTTTTCAAAGTTCAAATGTGACCAGAACGGGATGGGCCACAAAAGGAGTGCAGAAAGGGCGCCAGAAGCGTCAGCATTCTCATTATTATCTGCGGTTTTAGCAGCAGCAGCAGCAGCAGTCAATTGGAAGCAGTGTTGGGTGTTGGCAAAGCTGTGCTAATAAAAAAGTAAGACTTTTGATGAAATGTGCATCAACTCAAAACAAATAAATGTTGTCAAAAATGATCAAACATTGCGCCTAGCAGACTGATTCAGCTAACTAATAGGCAGATTTTCAGAGCAGTTTAACAGCAAACAAGTACTACTAGGTTTGCGATGCAAGTGGGCGCCAAAATGTAGATCAAGTGCATCTAGCAATGCAAGTGTCGCAAAGTTTTTGCGGTTAAGCGGCCTAAAAGGGAGCGAATACGTTTGCTGTAGCAAAGGCAAGAAAACTAAAGTTTTGTTTCTGAAATCCTTGCATTAATTAAGTTAATGAAGCGTCAAACGGCAAAAACAATTGATAAACGATTAAGAAATTGCAATAGTTGCATAATATCAAACAGTAGCAAAAGACTTATTCAAAGAAGAAGTTTATATTAGTAAAACTTAGTTTAGTTTTATTAATAAAACCAAAAACGTAGTTTTAACAACCAAATTAATAGTTTTTATTTAATGCGGACTGACAAACTTATTTTTTGAATATTTTACCACAAAAATACTACAATAAATTTTTTAAAAAAATTTAATTTAGAGTAAAATCTTTTAATTTAATTAGTTTTTGATAAAAACATATTGTAAAAATTTAACTTCTAAGTGGTTTTTATAAATAAAATTTTTAACAAAACTTAAACATATTTGAAAAGTTTTTACACATAAAAAGGCAAATTTAATAAACAAACTACAATCAACATTTTTCAAATTGTTTAAATTGTCAAGTTTAAAAATACAAAATTAATTATAGTTTGTTCAATTTATCAGTGTTGATTGTTTTTTGTGATTTAAAACTATAACATAAAAAATATTTTGTGTATCTTGATAATACTTGTTAAAGTACTAACAACATGCGTTAATTAAACAATTGATTATGTATAACAACATTAGGTAACTTATGCTGTTTTTATATTTTTAAATCACAAAAATATGATTTTAGTTATTGTTTTACTAGTTTAGTGTTTTATTACACATTTAAGTTTGGCAGATCAAGTTAACATTTTACTCAGTTGTGTGTTGCCTTTCAAATAACAAAACTTTTTGTTTTTTACAAACGTCTTTTGACTAGTTCAAAAACAAAATCTTAAAAATATCAATGTTTTAGAAAATAAAAAAAGTGTGCTTGCTAAAAACTTGTTTTTATGCTATAAAACCATGCGTGAGTGAAACAATTTTTAAACTGTTTTTTAAACTGTGTAGGTGTTATTGACAAAAAACCGAAAAATTACAAACATTTAAAGATTGATTGATTTTATAAATTAGGTTTTAACTTGTTGACTTTTTTATTGCAATAACAAAACAAATTGTGACATTTTTTGTATACAAAAAAGTTAAGCATAAATGAAGCCACTTTAATGCAAGTTTTGCAATTTAAAAAACTCGTCTAACTGCTAAAAACAAAACAATTTTGTAAACTGAACTGACAATGCTGAGGACCTCTTGATTGGATAATACTCAACGTGACACTTTAGCGGCAAACTTATATTTGCTTGTTTTTATTTGCAAAAGTTCAACGACAGGTTCTGAAGCAGTTGGAGAGTGGCAGCAGGCGTCACCGGTAAAAGTACAATTGCACCCATTGCAAACACTGCAAAAATTGCTTTTCACAACAATAGCGGTTCAGTACAGGCGTCCAGTCTTTTATGTACTCAAACCATTCTCAGCAAACCGTCTGTGCTGATTAAAGTTCTGGTCAGTCAGTCAACAGTGCAGCTGCAAGAATGGCAACGTTTTAACAGCAAAATTGACCGTAAAAACTGACAAAAATACGGTTAATTTTTGGTTTATTGCAATTGAATTGTTATTCTCTGAGCTTTTAGTTGTTTGAACTGTGTTTAAGACCGGTCAATAAACGATTAACAAAAAAAACCCTTAAGTTTGCTTTGGTGCAATGATAATTTGCACCTAGTAAATGCTATCAAACTCATTGGGTTGTAGCGTCCAAACAGCAATTTTGTCTATACATCAACAACAACAACACAGTATTATATTAAACTAGAAGGCTTTTTGTACACTCTTACAAACCCACACGCACACACATATTAATATTTGATGACACGGGCAAAAGAGGCAAATGGTCACTCTGATGGAGACACCGACCATATCACTAGGTACACTGCACAACCATGTCATTAGTGTCCATGTTTCCAATGTACAACGGTTTGTACGGCGTTCAGCAGTAGCAGCAATGAAACGGAAACACTGCCAATACTGCCGACATTACCATCTGCAGCAGTGCACCTATCTACACACACCTACAAGCCATGCATGACACAACTGCAAATCAGTAACAGTTTCTCTAATGCTTACTTCAGCAGTGGTTTGCATGTTTTTTATTAATTCAACTGCTTGTGAACAGTGGCGCACTATTATTAACAAAATAAAAAATGATTTTTTTTATTGAATTGATTTAATAATAACTTGTTTTCTGTTACCGCTGTACGAGGTTTGCATTTACAGATCAAGTTAAAACAAATCATGTTAACCATTTAAAGCTATCAAAAATTTTTTAAAATATATAAAGATTTTAAAATGCCCTTAAAACTCTCTTAAATGACCATTAAAACAAAACACATAAAATCTTATAACCTCAAACTACTATTAATTAGATAAAAATTTATGTGAATTTGTTACACATTTAGCAAAACGTTAATTTAAACTAAAAACAAATTTGAAACTTTGTAGAACATGATTATTAAAAAATGTTACAAAAAATAAAGTTAAAAAAATCAACATTTTAATGTCAAGTTTTTAAATTTAAAAATACAACTGTGTTGCTAACATTATCTTTTTAAAATTTGCAATTTCATGCTTTGTTTTAAATAAAAAGCGCAGTTGTAATTAGCATTTATAATTGCATATGCAAAAGTTTTAATTAATTAGCAGTCTATTGCGTGAGCAATGACGTAATAGTACTTAAATTGTATATGTAACCAGATGTTGCAATAATATTTTTAAATACAACATTACACCACTAACAACCCATTTTAAATTGTTCAATTTTGTTAATTTTTATATGTAGTACTCAAACCACTACGTTTTATTTTGTACAAGTTATGCCGCAAGCTATTTGCTTACATAATAAAACATTTGTTTTCTAAAGCGTTTTGGGTTTTTAGCATAAAATACTGTAAATACTTTTAATTATTAAAAAACAATTAACAGTTAACAAACCTGCACAATAAGTATTTATTGACAACGTATTTTGCAAAAATTCTATATATTGTTAAATAAAAACGTTTTTTACATTAAAAAACTGAACTTTTATTAAAGCACAAAAAAGCACAAATGAGACTGTTTCAAGATTGTGTACTGCCAAAAAATAAAAACAAATATCGATTGGCTTGCAAGTGCAATATGGCATAAAAAACAGGTGCTAACTATCAGTTAAATGTCACAAAACATTGAATAAAAATGATCAAATGAACGCATGTTATTAAAAAACAGCAACATTAAAATAGCAGACATACCTGAAAAAAGTCAAAAAGATCTACTTGAAAAAGACCGTCTAGACCAAATGCAATTAATTTTCTAATTGTAATGCCGCTGCAAAGTATCTTTTAACACAAAAGTATTAAGTCTAATGCAAAGTTGGTTCTTCACACATTAAGTTTTTTCATCGGCAAATCACTTCAAATGTGTCACGATGGCAATGTCTAAGTAGGCTAGACAATTTTAAATGTGTTCAATTTGAAGTGGTAGGATTTGTTATTAATTATAGCAATTAAACACTAATAACAAGCTTAAGTTGTAACGACGAATCATTTGAAGATGGTCAAGCGTTAAAAGCACTCAAAATGTAGTTGCGCAAGTTGACGGGCAAAAATGCAAAGCAGCAGCGGTGCATGTGATTGGAAGAAAAAACAAAAATAGTGCGTTCAGCGGCACTTTTTTCTTGGAACTGATGAGCGCGCCGGAGTGATGGCGCCAAAATGTGCGGTAAGTCTTTCGTTTCCTAAAGGACGAAAACAGGAGAAAAAGAGTGTCCCCAGTGCTTCAAAGGAAATGTTTAAAAAACGGTAAACGGCAATTGGCCACACTTGACACTGATGAAAACAGTCGGGGTGACTGAAAATAGAACAACCCGGAAAGAGGTGGTGGTGTTATTGCTGGGGACAGTTGGGTCAATAAGGTGCCAACTGAAGATGGTCAGAAAGTAGGCGATGTTCAGTATTGCTTGCAAAATTGTATCAAGTAAATACTTTGTTGATAATGATCTTTGGAGGTGGTCGCAAACAAAGACATATGAGTGTAAGTGAATTTGTTTGGGTAGTAATTAAAATTATTTTGGCACAGTCGATAGTATTGCCGTCAGCAGAATCAGTTGGTGAATGAAACGGCAGGCAGCAAAGATCTGAATTAAATACCCAACGAGGACGACGACGACGCCGACTACGGCGAGTGTAGGAAATTGACTTGAGAGAGAAAGAGAGAAAGAAAGAGAGATGGGAAAAAAGAGAATGGTCGTAGTAAAGAAGAGATAGTGAAAGTGAGAGAGAAGAATTTGGCGGGCATTTGCTCTTTGCATTGGCTCTCGCTGAGTGGGAGAGAAAAAGCAAGGAGGCTGATGGCAAGGAAATGCACCACGGCAGTTGGTCTCTGGCTCGGGTAGCGGTAGTTTCGGGTCGTTTGCTAGTTTATTGTGTGCCACCGCGACCAGAGCATTTGTGTGCACTCGCACCCGCACAC